AGGAGGGTGGCGGAGGGAGGGTGCGCCTGGTTGGTGTCGGTCGACGCGACCATGTACTTTTTGAACTTGGCCTCCATCGCATTCTTGAGCGCATACTTTTGCGAGTCGATGACCGAGCGGAGCAGCACAGAGATGGCGAGGTTGACGTCGTCGTTGTTGACCGCGTTGCGCAGGTGCATGCGCGCCGACGCCTCCGCCATCCGAATGATCGACTCGATGTGCCGCACCGCGATCGTCAGCCCGCCGCCCGCCGCCTCGCGGCGCAGCTCGGTGTACACCTGCGTGATCTTGCCCTGGTCGATGTCCTGCAGCACGGGCCGCACCTTCTGGCGCGCGTACATGATGTACTTGCGCAGCAGCGTCTGGTCGATGGCGTCCTTGGCGGCGGCGGCTTGCATCGCGCCGGCGGTGCCGAGCTCTTCGGCGCGCGGGTGGAGCCTCCTGTGCGATCCGACGACGAACTCGGCGAGGCGCTCGTCCTGGGAGGCGGGGAGTGGGGGAGGGTCGGGGGGCGGAAGGGGGGAGGGCGGGAGAGGAGGAGGGAGGAGGAGGGAGGAGGAGGTGGCGGAGGAGGAGGCGGAGGAGGCGCGCCTCGATGGGGTCGACGGTGTCCTTGACCACGCAGATGCAGTCGAAGCGCGAGAGGATCGGGTCGGTGAGGTCGACGTTCTCGGTGAAGGAGAGCGACGGGTCGTACGTCCCCTTGAGCGGGTTCGCGGCGGCGATGACCGCGCAGCGCGCCTGCAGCGTCGCGATGATACCCGCCTTGGAGATGGAGATGGACTGCTGCTCCATCGCCTCGTGGATCGAGGTGCGGTCGGCGTCGTTCATCTTGTCGAACTCGTCGATCAGGCAGACGCCCTTGTCGGCGAGCACGAGCGCGCCGCCCTCGAGGGTCCACTCGCGCGTGACCGGCTCCTTGTGCACCGAGGCGGTGAGGCCGACGGCGGTGGCGCCCTGCCCGGTGGTGTAGATTGCGCGCGGCGCCGTCTTCTCGACGTACTTGAGGAACTGGGACTTGGCCGTGCCCGGGTCGCCGAGGAGGAGCACGTTGATGTCGCCGCGGATGCGGTGCTTGCTCGACACGTCCTTGCACTGGCCGCCAAACATGGAGAGCGCGATGGCCATCTTGATGTTGGAGTGGCCGTGGATGGAGGGCGCGACCTGGGAGGGGTGGAGGAGGGGGGGGGGGGATGGAGTGGGACGGCGGTGAGAGTGACAGGGGGAGGAGGAGGGAGAAGAGCGGTGAGGGGAGGGACGGGGGGGGGAGAGGGGGGGGGAGGGCAGAGCAGGGGCGGTCGGGGAGCACCGAGCGGAGAATCTTTTGCCGGATCTGCGGGTCCTTTGCGAGCCGCTGGATCTCGCGCTCCTCGTCTTCCGTGAGGGAGTTGCGGTCGGCCTCGTCCTTGCGCTGCACGTGGTTGGCCTCGACCGAGGTCGAGAAGACCGGGAAGCCCGTCTTGCGGTTCATCTCCGAGTCGAAGGACGTGTTGTACACGCCGGTCACCTCGACCTCCTCGCCTGGCCGCACCGTGTCGATGAGGTCCTGGTGCGGGAGGCGGCGCGGCGGGTCAGAGCCGGGGACGTGCGTGCGGGGAGAGGGAGAGGGGGGGAGAGCGAGGGGGAGAGGGGGGGGGGGGGAGCCAGAGAGCCAGAGGGGGAGGGAGGGAGAGGGGGGGAGAGAGAGGGAGAGGGGGGGAGAGGGAGAGGGGGAGAGGGGAAGGGGAAGGTGGGAGGGCGAGAGCGGAGGGAGGGGAAGAGAGGGAGGGGCGGAAAGAGAGAAGGGAGGGGCGCCGCGCGCCCACGTCAGGATGACCTCCTTGTGGCGCGGCAGCCGGCCTGCGGGCACCGAGCCGGGCGACTCCTGCAGCGTCACCTTTTGGTAGTTGCAGTAGACCGTCTGCTCGGTGTTGAGGACGTACGGCCCCTTGGCTTGGCACGAGGGGCAGACGTGGCCCGACATCTTCGGCTCGGGGCCGGAGACGGAGAAGGGGCCGAGCACGTACCCGCAGTTGGTGCAGTTGTACCTGCACACCTTGAGCTGCGGGAAGACGGACGAGCGGCGCGTGACGACGCCAGAGACCTTGACGAGGCACCCCATGTGGATGAGGCGGAGCTCGCGGATGGAGTCCTGGATCGGCAGGTCGGTGACGCGCACGTGGATGCGCGGGCACGTGTCCGGGTAGTCCGGGTACATGATCCGCACCACGTCCATCGCGGCCGTGTCGAGCAGCTCGAACATCTCCTTTGGCGCGTCGGCGACCCAGATGGCGAGGATGGGCACCTCGCGCGAGAGGTCGAGGTAGGAGACGTCGAGCGACTCGCGGTTGGCGGAGCACATCTGCCGCACGAGCGTCGCGTACTTGGACGAGCCGCCGCCCTCGCCGGACGCGCTCTTGCGGTCGAACTGCGTCAGGAAGCGCTTGAAGCGCCGCTTGACCTCCTCGCCGACGGCCGGCGTGCGGATCCACTCGGCGAGGGTCTTGTTGGAGTACTCCTCGAGGTTGATGCCGCTCTCCTCGTCGTCGATGATCTGGTCCACCGTGTCGGCCGCCTCGGCGCCCTGCTCGGGCTCCTCGCGCCGCCGCCGCCGCGGCCGCGACTCGCCCTCCTCGTCGTCCTCGTCGAGCAGCGCCGCCGGCAGGCGCGACGTGGTCTCGCGCGCCTCGCGCGCCTCGAGCTCGGCCTCGGCGGCGGCGCGGGCGCGGGCGTCGATCCCACCGTACTCCGCGTGGTCGATCCCGTCCTCCTCGTACTCGTCGAGCGCCCCCATCGGGCGGTAGTCGGCGTGCATGTCGTCGCCGATGAGCTCCTCGCCATCCTCCTCCTCCTCGGCGAGCGGGTCGGGCCGCGGCGGCGCGGACTGCGCGGGCTGCTCGGGCTGCGGCGTCCCCTGGGACGCCGCACCCTCCTCCGCCGGCAGCGGGCTGCCCTCGGCGCCGCTCGCCGACCCCGAAGGGCTCGCCGACGGCCCGCCGCGTCCGCGGCCGGAGCGTGTGCGCTTTGGTGCCATCCTGCGGGCGGCGGAGAGGGAGGAGCAGAGGAGTGAGGGGAGGTGGGCTTCTGAGGGGGTGTGCAACGATTCGCCAGGTGGAGGGCTGGAGGCCTTCGCGCCTTTTCGGATCCGTATCTGTGCTTCCCGCCTATCCGTGTCCCGCTCGACGGGTTTTTTCTTTTTTTTTAGAGAGCCTTCGAAAGAGACACCTCACATGACCCCACACACGGTCTAGTCCGGCCTCGCGGTCGACGGAGATTGCTAGGACGAGCAAGCCTGCTCTAGCCTCACGCGTTCTCCCCTGTCGTCTGTTGTGTTGTTGTGCCCTTGTTTGTTTGTTCTCTTGGCACCTTGGAGTGCTGGGGGGGGCGACAGGGAGGATGTGGCCTTGAGTTATGTGTACGCCAACTCAGGGTGTGTGGCAGCCAGCTGGCTGTGTGTCTTGTGAGCTTGTTTGTGTCTGTGTGTCGTTCGTGCGTGTCGTCATCATCTGTCCCGCGTCCACCCATACCGCGTTGGTGTCCAGTCCGAGCCCGACTGTTGTTCATCTTTCTACATACATGCCTTCGTTGTTAAAATAATACAAACCCAATGGTCCCTTGCGAGCGGTCCCCTGTCGCAGTCGCACACACGCACACGCCTCACCGCACCTTTTAGTACAGCGTGCCGCTAGCCGACTCTCTCGTTCTTCATAGCTGCCAGCATTGCAGCTTTCCTTTTGCGTAGGAAAGAAAAGAATAACAGAAGATAACAGAGGCAAGAGGAGCAGTTCCCGGGGCCTAAATTTCTTTTCCTCCCAGGGAAGTGTCTCGCTTCCGCTTCAATGTGGTAGCGGGGGCGTGTGGCTGTTGGCCGGCCGGCAGTGTTGGAGATGAGCCCGAAGTTGTGCTCTGGAAGAGAAGCGTTGCATGCACGTGGTACTAGTAGTACAGCAGGGTGAGAATTATGAAAAACGCCGGAATTCGGACGAGTACTCTCGCCTGCACAAATTCGATAAGTGGGACAAGGAGGGATGCGTCCAGGGGTGGCACGTCCTGGAGTTTGAGGCGTGCTCCCTGGGGTGTCGACGGGCCCCCGTTTGCGACGGGGGTGCTCTCCGGCCGCGGCGGCCGAAAACGGGGACCTCCAACTAGGTCCAACTATGAAGTGATCCACTTGATCCAAGGGTGCCATTGTGCTCTACAACTACAAAAGTTGTGTAAGATGCCCAAGTCTCAGACGCTGGATCCTTAGCACTTGGAGCACTTGGAGTGCAGTCATCAACCGCACATCCAGGGCCGGGCGCCGGGGAGCTAAGAAGCGCACCCAGCGGGCCGGATGATTGGCATCGGGTTACGGGCTAGAGAGCCCTAGCCCCGGGGGTGCGCGTTCGCAGGGAAAGGGCCGTAAAGTAAACACGGGTCTCCGAGGGTTGGCTCCGCGCTCCGGGTTTCCCCTAGCAGCAGAGCGGAGCTGAGTTCTGACGGTGTGAACACGAGCAACCGGAGTGACGACCGGGACCGGGCCGCACGCCGGGAGTGCCCCGACTAGCAGTGACGGGCGCGGACGAGCGAATGAGAGGTCGCTATCTGTGGAAGATGTGTTGTTAGGGACTAGGACTGCCTATCTCTCACTGAAAGGGACCTCTCATTCGCTCGTCCGCACCCGTCACCGCTCACGGAGATCGGAGTGCTCCGCGTGCCGCACCGGCCGCCGCCGGCCGCCGGCCGCTCACGGCAACGGAACAGTCTTACTACTCCGCAACGTTGAGCTGGATCATACTGAATAGTGCTCCTGAAAGCCCTCTCTCTGGGCTCTGCCACACAGTAGAGCTCACGACTAGCAGCTGTTGTGGCTGGGTATTTGTAGCCATTTTAAGGCTTCAACTGGTCCCAAAATAGTAGCAACACCTCATGAAAATCAGTCAAAAACGCCCCCAAAAATCGGCGCCTGCGGCGGGCTACCTGGGGCTGCGCCCCAGACCCCCTTGACTGGGGGGACCCCCCCCAAGAGCACCCCCGGGGGGCGCGCACGACGTCGGACGGGCGGGGCCGCTTGCGGCGCTGCTCGCGCGGCAGCTGCTCCGAGTGGTGCCGGCCCTCGCGCAGGGCCTCGTCTATGCGGCGCTGCGCGGCGTCGGCGGGCATGTCGCAGGCGGGACGAACGGGCGGAGAAGATGGACCGGCAGCCATCGGCCCGTTCCGTCCTCCTCTCGAAGCACCCTCACCTGGCGCATCGCCGCGAGCGGTGAGACGGCCCGAGTGCCCTGGCCGAGCCGCGCCGTGCCCAGCTCTTCCTCTGGCAACTCGCCGACCACGTACACGTGGGCCCAGGATGAGCCGTGCTCCGGCTGGCCAAACACGGGGAGCGCTCGCGCGAGCAGCGCGCCAAGGGCGGATCCCAAGTTGGGAAAGTACATGCGCCGGGCCTCCGCAAACTGCTCCTGCGCGCCGACGACTTCCGTGACGCCGAGCTGAAAGAGGTCGATCTCGCGCACGTGCATGGATGGTGGCGAGCGTGACACCGCCGACGCGCAGGGAGACGAAGAGCGGGTCCTCTATGACAACCATCCTGTGTGTGCCGCAGATTGCGGCGAGCGCGCAGACCAAAAACGCTTTCAGCGGAAGAAAAAGCCCCGGCGAATTCTTCTCCCAGGCACTCCGCGTTATTTTGTCGTGTTTCCATGTGTGCTGTGAGAGAGGCTTTAGCCATCCGGTCCTGGGCGCCAAGATATCAAAGCCATGTCTGTCCGGACCTCGCGACGCAGCGCGGGTCTGCTCGGCAGCGAGTACGAGGTATCGATCGCTGCTCCGCCAGCGTCACACTGCTGCACCGGCATCAGCGCCTTTCGGCGCCAGGTCGCCTCATGCACGCTTGCGGGCCTCTCCGTCTTCACGCTGGGAGGCCTCTGCTTTGGGTGCGGCTCTCCTCCTTCGCACCCCGTCCACGACGTCCACAAAACACGTCCATACCGTGTTCGCAGGTTTGACTCCGTCTACCCGGTCCTGTACTCGAGCGGCGCTTTCCTCGACCTGTGCGCGGCCGACGAGGCGGCCGCCTGCGCGGCGCGAAGCGGCGAGGAGCGCCAGCGCAGCTGTTGCAAGGCGCAGGCGTCGTCCTTTGTCTCGCTCTCCTCCGTCTCCCTCTTTGCCGCCGACGGAGTGATGGTCGCGTACGGAGAGCTGATGGACCGCCGCGGCGCCCGCTGGTGCATCTCCATCGCGCTCTGTCTCGTCTGCACCGGCCTCGCTCTGCTCTCGATTGCCGGCTCGCTCGGCGCGTCCTCCCCGGCCGCACTCTGGTGGATCGCGTTCCCGCTGATCGGGCTGGCGGGGCCGGGCGTCTTCATGGCGGCCCTGTCATTCGGGGAGGCGCCGCCCAGCCCTGCAGCAGCCACTCACCTCGCGGGTCTCTGCCCACGAGGTCCCCCCGCCGCACGTCCGCAGCTCTTCCCGAACCTCGAGTCCGTCATCGCCCCGCTGGCGGCGTCCATGTTTGACGGCTCCGCCTTTGTGTTTCTGCTCTGGAAGCTCCTCTTCTTGCGCGCCGGCCTGCCCCTCTCCGCCATCGCCGCGGCCTGGCTCTTCCTCTCCGTGCTGGTGGGCGGCTCGACCTGGCGCCTCCCTCTCTTCGCCCGGCGGCACACCCCAGCGGGTCCCCGACTGGCCGCGGGTGTGGGCTCTAGGTCGCTCCTCCTGTCCAAGCGGCAGACCGAAGGGATGCGGGCGGAGCGCGAGGCGTCCTTCGCCGAGCGGGTCGACGAGCGCGCGCCCGTCTCTGAGCCGGCGCTGAGGGCAGCCGTCGTGTGGCACTCGGAGGGAGACGGGCTGCGCCAGCTGCTCTGCCGGACCGACAGCCTGCTCCTGCTCCTCTTCATGTGCACCGCAAACCTCAACCAGACTTTCTACCTCGAGACGTTACCACGCACCCTCCGCGCGCGGCCGCCCGCCTGAGGGACGGCCGTGACGCACGTCCACGACACGTTAGGTTCGCCGACCAGCTCCGCGCGACCGCCGCGAGCGGCGGGTCGCCGCTGCGGCCCGAGCAGGCGGAGCAGATCGTCGAGCTCTTCGACGTCCTGTTCCCGCTCCTCTCGGTCGGCACCACGCCCCTCGCCATCGGCCTCGTCAACCGGCGCGCAGACCAACGCCGCCGCCCGCCGCCGCCGCCGCCGCCGCCGCCGCCGCGCGCCGCAGCCGCGCGCCACAGCCGCCGCCACAGCCTCCGACGCCGCTGCCGCGCGGCCGCACGAGTACCAGCGCCGTCGCCGCCGCGTGAGCCCCGCCCCTCTGCTGCAGGAGCCCCGCCCCTCTGCTGCAGGTACGCCGGGCGAGAGCACGCCTACCTCGGCGCGGTGGTTTGCCTCTCCTGCGCCTTTGGCCTCACCCAGCTGGCGCCGTCGTTCGGGCCGCAGCTCGTCGCCGCCGTCCTCTTTGGGCCGGCGCGCACGCTGCAGTGGGCCTGCTACTTCCACTTCCTCGCTTCGCCCAGCCGCTACCCGCCCGCCGCGATGGGCCGCGTGGTCGGGTACGCCAACTTGGTTATCGCTCTCTTCGGCGACCTCCCTCCCAGCTTGCTGGACGCCTACATACAGCACGGCGCATTCCCCTCCGACGTGCCCTCCCGCTACGTCGCGGCGCACGCCGTCCTCATGACGGCCGTCGCCCTCCTCTCGGCGGCGCTGCCGCTGCAGCTCCTCGCCGCGCGCCGCGCCGCTGAGGGGAGGTTGTTGGCGCCGCTCGAGCCGCTCGAGAGCGACGGCATCATTGGAGAGCTGCCGCCGTCGAGGCGAGCCCCCCGCGACGGGCTGTCCGACGAGGGAGGCGAGGACGACGAGGCGGCGTGCTTGCGCCCTGCACGCACCTCGTCGTGCAGGAGTGGGCCGGCGAGCCAGAGGATTCTGAGTACTGCCGCGAGCAGCGGTGGCACGCTTGGTGGTCAGGTGCTCGAGATAGGCGTGCGCGGTCGCGTCCACAGCATATGATCATATGATTTGAAAAGAACATGGAGAAAATTTTATGGAGCAGCTTCGGCGCGGGGGTTCGCGAACCGCAACAAGCTGTCCGACCTCGTGGTCGCGCACGGCTTCAAAACTGTCAGCACGCCCATCTTCAAGGAGCTGAAGGAGCTCTTCGAAGAGCTCTGACACTGTGTTCACGACGTCCCCTCCGATTTTTCTTTTTATTTTGTGAGAAGAGAACAAGAAAGGACAGCGGCCTGTCAGAGGGCTTCAAAACTAGCTCAGCAAAAACGCTCTCGCTATACACACAATATATAGACATCATCTCTAGCTCTACACTCGCTTTCTCGCTAGGCCTATAGCTCACCATCGAAATGGTTGGGTAGTAGCAGTCGCGGGGTAGATAGAGGTGTAGAGGGTTGCCCAAATCTTAGACCTGCTCGCAGGCGAGCGCTGAACTAAGCCCCCGAAAGGAGACGGGCTCTCAAACTTAGACGCTGGTGATCGCTGATCGGTCGGACTCACGAACCGAACTTAGACGACACCCGACACGAGGCGGCCATTTCCGGGTCTCTGCAGCCCCCGCCCACGGCCACAGCCCGGCCAGGCCCGGTCCGGCCCGCGGTCTGTAAACAAAAAGTGTAATACCTCCCCCGGTATTTATACCGGTAGGGAGGCGTGTGCCGAATACAAAGTGGATCCCGCCCGCCCGCCCCGCAATAAGCGCAGATGTCCTCTTCAGCCTGCCGAGAGCCTCCTGGCCCGCGCGCGCGCTCCGCCTGGCGCGCGGAGCGACTCGGTGGACGTCCGAGCCCGCCGCCCCTCGCCACTGCACCCTGCTGGCCCATGCAGCGCGACACCGCCGGTGCTGCGCCTGCTTCCTTGCGCGCCGCTGGACGTCGGCCGAAAAGACCGCTTCCCTCTGGGGACCCGACTCCGCGAAGATCGCGCGCGTCGTGAATGCGGCGCGCGCGCGATCTCCGTTCCCGGGCACGCCGGTCGCAGTGGCATGGGATCCCAGGCTCAAAACAGCGCAACAGCGAGCGAGCGCCGCCGCTGCTCCTCCTCCCGCCGCCGCTCCGCTCACCGAGACAAACTCGGTGCCGCCGTTCTCGCCGCCGCCGCCGCCGCCGCCGCCTCGCCCCTCGCCTCCGTCACCGCCGCCCTCCATCTCGCGGCGGCGTCCCGCTCTGATGGCGCGGGCGCCTCGCTCGCCGGCGCGCCTCGCCGCTGCCCCCCTCTCGCCGCCGCTCCGCTCGTGGCCGCCGCCTCCCCTGTCGATCCCGCTGTCCGCACCACCGCTGCCACCGCCTCGCGCCTCACCGCCGCCGCCACCGCCCTCCCCCTCGCCGCTGAGCGGTGCTTGGCGAGCCTCTCACCGTCCCGGCCGCGGTGCGCACACAGCCTGTGCACACTCTCTCCTTCTCTGTACTCTGACTGCGCCGCCGGCGCCGCCACGCATGCAGTTAGCTGTTAGGTGCTTGGGTCAGCGGCGTGAGCCGAGAGGTGGCCCACCGCTGACAGCGCTCAGCGCGGGGGCGGGGGGGGGGGGGGGCGCCCCCCGCCCACACACGCGCGGGACGCGCCCCGGCAGCAGCTAGCTCCTGCCTCCTCTCCGCTCGCGCCACCCCGCGCGCGGGGGCGTGACGTCTGTAGCGAGGCGACGGTGGTACGGTGTCCGACCCGATCTGGGGTTTTCATATAATGCGGCTCTACTCGTATCGACCAATAAAATACCGGGGGAGGCCTGCGCAGCCTCTAACTATCCGCTGAGTAAATTTTGCACGACCCCATGGGTCAAATGCTAAACCGCCGTCGCCACGCCCTCCTCTCAGCCTCCGTGCGCAAGTTCTTGCGACGCACGCCACTTGTACACAACGCGGGTGAAATACCAGGGAAATGCGCCTGGGGAACACAGTCGTGTGTCTCACTTTTCTCAGTGCATTTGGTCCAAGAATCAAGACTTGGTTGAAAGTCACGTCTACAACTTTAAACACAAAATGATGCCTTTTGATACTTTTAAAGTCCGACACACACAGGTTCGGCATTCGGGACGGCACCGGCGCACCGCCTCGGTGATCTGTGATCTGTAAGGGTCCGCCCGCAGGCGCATTTTGTATACCGAGGCGGTGCCCGGTGCCGAGCGCAGGCAGAGCCCACAGGTCGGACCTTAAGACAGCGTTGTGGATCCCTGGGCGAGGGTGATGGAGGGGGGGGGTCCGGCGGCAGAGCACCCACCTCCTCCCGGCGTGCTGGGAGGCAGGATGTCATCCCCCGTGATCCCGACCGCCCCGTCGGGGGTAGACCGCTCGTCTAGCCGATCAGCCTTAAGCGAGCGGTCTGGCCGTTGGAATGGCCGAGGTTGGTGGACTTGCGTCCTCGCATCGATCGTGTGGTTACAAGTACAAGTAAGTAGCGTTATGAACAGAACACCCACCATGAACCACGTTCATCGGGAAGGGGGAGTGCCTATTCGCCCGGCAAAGGGGGCATGCGCGGCCTTTCGGAGCCCCCTTCCTCTGTCGGCTTAGTACGGTTGGTCGGCGCGTCTCCGTCTGAAATCATCTCTAGGCTTCCGTGGCGGGCCCTCCTTCCGCTGGCGCTCCCGCTTTCTCTGCGCTTTCGTCATCGGCTCCTCGCCCTCGTGATGCTGCTGGCTCACCCCCTCCCCCTGGCTCATCGAATCGCTACGTTCGTTCTCAAATCGCCCCCGCTTCCTCGGCGGCTGGGACGCCTCGTGCTCTGGCCGTTCCTCGTCTTCGTCCATCACTGTAAATTCGTCGTCTGCCTGGCTGCCTTCTCGTTTGGATGGCCCGTTTCGGGTGGTTGCTCGCTCGGCCCTGGCTCTGTTGTGCGGTCGGGCATCTCTTCGTCCTCGCTCCTCTCTCCATCTCGTCGCCGTCGTTGGCGTCTTCGGGGTGTCTGTGTCCGTCCCCGCCGCTGCCTCCTTGTAGGAGTTCGAAACGGAGTCGGTCCAGGAAGCGTCGTGCGGCTCTTCGGTTCCGTTGGCCCTTCCTGGGCGCCCGTTGGCTGCCTTGGCTGTCTGCCGTGTTCCACGGCTCGACCCCAGCTCCCTGCGCCTCGCGCACTGCGTCGAGGGTCCGCTGTGACACTTGCCTCTCGCGCCCGAGCCGAAACCGCAGTAGACTGAGGTGCCCGATCTGGTATGCCTTTGTGCCTTTGAGGGCTCGCGGGCCTCTCGGCACCCCTTTGTCTGCCCTCGGCTTGCGTGGCTTTGGGGCGTCTCCACGTTGCTGCCCCTCTCTACGCCGCTCGTCTCGTACGCCGATGAGCTCTCGCGCCATGGCTGCGAGGCTGTCCCCGTGGCACAGCCTCCCCTCTCGACACGAGGGCGAGCATCCGAGCCGCACCACCTTGGCGTTGCCGCGGCCGTTCAGCGCGGCCCGCACGCCACGACGGCGTCGTTCCCCGTCCTAGCTTCGTCGGAGCGTCGAGGGGCGATCTCCTGTGAGAGAAGGGCTGCCCGTTGGCCTGTCGGATGAGCGCTGGCGTGGATCTAGTGTCCCACACGGCCGAGGCGGGAACGGTGCGCAGCCGGAGCCACGTGTCGAATGCCTCGCATACCTGGTCGCGCAGCGCCTCGTCGGTGCCTCTCTTCCCCATGGGGAATGGGTTGCCGAGCCCGGTGCCTCTCATGATGTTGACTGGCAAGGGGCGCGGGACTGTGTCCGCTCCCGTGTCGCGCGTCTCCGCTCGTCGGCTTCCAGTCGCGGTAGATAAAGTCTGCCCCTCGCGTGCGAGGGCCGACCTTCACAGCTCACACGTCACAAACAAACAAGTATTGCTAAAGATCTCAAAACAACATGGGCTGCAAGGCGCGCGGGCAGCCCGGCCAACCCTTCTCCCACAAGAAATCGCCCGCGCGCTCCTCCTGCGCGCTCAGGGATGTCATTACCCACGCTGAGGAGCGCGGAACCGCGGAACCCGCCCCGTATGACTCTTCCGCGGCACTTTTCTCCATATCCATTTGTATCGCCCGATTTCCGCCGCGAATTCTTTTTCAACTCTGGGTTGCGTTGTGTTGCCTGCTCGCGCGCCGGGGCCCTGCTCTCGCCCGCCTGCAGGGCAATGGCCGTCACGGCCATGAGCCCGGGCAAAGAGCTCGGTGCGCGCGCGCCCGAGCCTCCCGCGCGCGTGTGCGGCTGCGCCGCCGCTGGCAGGCCTCCGCGCGCGCCAATAGCAGCTTTTGCCACGCCTCAGCGCGGCAGGGCCTCTGCGGCATGAGCATGTGGCCCCTCACGCTCGTTCGGCCCGCCAGCCCCTCCTCTCCCTCCCGCGCGCTCCGACTAACCTCCGCGTGGCGGTCCGCGCCCTCCTCGCCGCTCCGCCAACACCGTACCGCCCCTCTCGCGCACAGAGATGGGCAAGGTCTTTGTCGGAGGCCTCTCCAGGGACACGACGACGACGGGGCTGCGCTGCTACTTTGAGCAGTTTGGGCACATTTCGGACTGCGTCGTCATGAAGGACCGCTCGACGGGCGCTCCGCGCGGCTTTGGCTTCGTCACCTACCGCCACCAGACCGTCGCTGATCACGTCGTCGCGCAGCGTCACTTGATAGACGGCAAGGAGGTCGAGGCCAAGCCGGCCGTGCCGCGCGACTCGGACAGCCTGGCGCGTCCAGCGCTCGTCGCTCCCGTCGTGCCCAGCGTGCCGCCGGTGCCGGCTCCCCCGGTCGGGCGCGAGGTGAGGGCGGGCGAGCTCAAGATCTTTGTCGGCGGCCTGTCGCACGAGACGAGCGAGCTCGAGTTCATCACGTATTTCGAGACGTACGGCCGGGTGACGGACTGCGTCATCATGTGCGACCCCCACACACGAAAGCCGCGCGGCTTCGGCTTCATCACGTACGACAACACGCCGAGCGTTGACCGCGTGTGCGCCAACAAGTTTCACGACCTCAACGGTGCAGGGCCCCTCCCACCAGGCCCCTCCCGCCAAGCCCCTCCCGGCGCGGCGCCGCGTGACGCCGCCCTCTGCACGCGGCGCAGGGAAGCGCGTCGAGGTCAAGCGCGCCATACCGCAAGACCGCATGCTCGCCACCGTCGCCGCGGAGGCCGAGGGCAGGCCTGCGGAAGGCGGACGGTTTCCGCCCTCGCGCAGGCAAGGCGGGCCGTATGTCGGGGCAGGGCCGCACACGATGCCGGCCCCGTGGGCACGGCCGGCGGGAGCGTACGGCGCGAAGCCCGGCGGACGCCCCGGTGCGGATGAGGCGGCGTCCGGGCTCGAGGGCGCTCACCTCAACAGCGCCATCTCGTCGGCGAATTCGGTGCTCGACACGCCTCCGAACGACGTCTTCAACTTTCCGGGAGGCAACTACAGCTCGGCGACGCGCTCCCTCTCTCAAGGGACGCGCGTCACGTACGGCGCGCGCTCGGAGGCGCAGCAAGTGGAGACGTCGCGTGCGGCCGCGCAGCAAGAGGCGCTCTTGTGGCAGCTGCAGGAGGAGCAGCTGAAGCTGCAGATAGCGCAGCAAGAGTTCAACGCGCAGCAGGTCAAGCAGCTGCAGGAGATGCAGCAGCTGGTTGCGGCGCAGCATGCCATCGTGGCCGAGCAGAGCCGCGCGCTCGGCTCCAATCCGCCCCACGCCCCCATCTACGGCGTGCCGCCAGCCATGCATCCCGAGCAGGCCCTTCAAAACTTGCAGGCGATGCAAGATACTCGTAGCGTGCCGCAAAATGGGCCGCAGGCTCCGTCGCTAGCGTACCTCCACGGCGCGTCCGGCATGGGCGAGGTTCAGCAGCAGATGGCGGTGCTCAACTGCGCCAGCGCCGAGCCCCCGTCGGCGGCCAGTTCTGCGAGCGAGCCCGCCTGATAGCGAGACCATCGTCCTGCCGATACTCAACATGGAGCCGCCATGGGTGCTCCCCCCGTGAGCGCTGCTCAGCGAGACGTATGAGCTCCAACCTGCCGAACGGCGTCGTCCACTCATTCAGATCTAGACCTTCTGCGGGCCCCGCCGGGCCCGCGTCGCGTGTGTGGTAGTTAGAGCCAGGTAGATTCCTAGCCGACGCGAGTAGTCTTGAGGAGATGAGGTGCGCGCAGAATAGGGACCGTCGCCAGACCTGCACTGTCTGCGCGCATGGACCATGGCCCGCTCGCACCCAATTCAGTGATTCCTGTGTAACGATTCGATTTGTCAGAACAGCAGCTAGAATCAGTAGCAAAATATGTGCTCAACGCAAAACGTGCGGAGACAACCCCCCCACCATAGATAGAGGAAGATAGACACACAACGAGGAGCGGCGCGGGTCCGGGGGCGGCGCGTCCGAGACCGAGTTTGCCGCCTCCATGCCGCGCAGCCACTCTAAGGCCCGCGAGCGTCCGCGTCTCTACCGGCCCAAGTAGAGAGGAGCGGCGCCACGTCGAGGGGGGGGGGGGGGGGAGGGTGAGACGCGGTGTTGAGGCGACCGCGGTGCCGATCCGCGATGGTGACCGCACACACTGCACGGGCGACTACTGAGGCGAGTCTGTATGTGGCCTCTACAGCTCAGGCACCGAGCGCTTGCACAGCCGCCTGGGAGAGCGGCGGTGAGGGCGTCAGTCGTGAGGGCGGCCGCGGCGCGGGAGGCGGGCGAGAGGCGGCCAGGGGTGGAGAGAGAAGGCTGAGAGGAGAGAGAAGGCAGGGAGGAGAGAGAAGGCCGGGGGAGAGGGGGGAGGGAGGAGAGAGGAGGCCGGGCGGCGAGCCGCGCACCTCGAACCGCGCGTGCAGCTCGGGCGTCCAAATGAAGCGCGGCTTCGGCGCCTCGCAATCGGGCGGCCCGCGGACCGCGGCGGGCTCGGCGGGCTCCCGCGCCGATCCCTTTGGCAGGGGCGACGACGCCGCCGCCGCCGCCGCTGCCGCCGCCGCCAGCGACTGCATCGGCAAGTTGCCGATGGGCGTCCGGGGTCTGTCGGCGGTGACTGTGAGCTGCGAAGACATTGGCAGCGGCGGCGGAGGCGGCAGCGGCGGCAGGGAGAGCGGCGGCGGTGGCGCGCTCTGGTCGCTCGGCGACATCAACGCTTGTCGCGTGGCTGGTGTGGAGACATTGTCTGCCGGTGCCAAGCCACCAGCCACAGCGACAAAGTTCTCTCCCGCACTCACGATGATGAGATCGTCCTCCTCGAGCACCTGTGGCGGCGGGGAGGGTGTCGCGGTGCCTGTGGTAGCGAATGGGAGCCGTGACGGCGGCACCTCCAACTCCTTGATCTCAAACCCATGATCATCAAAGAGGTCCTAAGCCGCGAATGGCTCGGTCGCGGTGGACAGCGCGCGGCTCGCCTTCTCGAGCAGAGCCTCCCAGGTCTCGGGGACGATGAACTTCTGGCCATCGGCTCGATGGCCGTTCCGATAGAGTTTGATTCGCATCCTGATTCAATCGTCTTTGCTCGCAGCTCCAGCGTCGAGACGCACGGACTCACCTACCTCCGTCTGCCGCACGCCGCTCTCTCTCCCCGGAGGCGGGCAGCGAGTGGAGCGCCGCCGGTCCCAGAGACGATGCCGTAGCGATTCTTCGCGCAATCGCGGCAACGATTCTTCACACTAGCTCCCCTGATTTGCTCACTAACCCGGCACGGGTCAGCACGGGTCAGAATGGGTTACCATAACCCGGCACTAACCCGGCACTAACCCGGCACTAACCCGGCACTAACCCGGCACTAACCCATGCGGCTGGGGGGCATACGTCAGCATGGGTTATGGTAACCCGAGACTACCCGGCGCTAACCCGGGTTAGTCTCTCCCTCGGACGGCTTGGCTGCACCTTGCCCCTTGGTGCTCTCCGCGGCAACGCCGTTATCGGTAAGTTGAGCGTGTATGGAGTGAGTCTATCGCGTATCGGTAAGCGCGGGTTAGCGGCGGGTTCCACACGGGTTAATCCACACTAACCCAGCACGGGTCAGCACGGGTTAGAACGGGTTACCATAACCCGACGCTAACCCGCGCTTACCGATAGACTAACCAGTTTAGTCCCGTACACACACCATGAGAAATCTGGGACCCCTATCTCTCTATTGCGAGATGAAAGAGAGCGTCTCACTCGCCTTGAATCCCCGGCCCTGCGGATGTCCGCTGCGCTCTACGGTGTTGGCGGAGCGAGCGGGAGGGCGCGGACCGCCACGCGGTCGCGGAGGTTAGTCGGAGCGCGCGGGAGGGAGAGGAGGGGCTGGCGGGCCGAACGAGCGTGAGGGGCCACATGCTCATGCCGCAGAGGCCCTGCCGCGCTGAGGCGTGGCAAAAGCTGCTATTGGCGCGCGCGGAGGCCTGCCGGCGGCGGCGCAGCCGCACACGCGCGCGGGAGGCTCGGGCGCGCGCGCACCGAGCTCTTTGCCCGGGCTCATGGCCGTGACGGCCATTGCCCTGCAGGCGGGCGAGAGCAGGGCCCCGGCGCGCGAGCAGGCAACACAACGCAACCCAGAGTTGAAAAAGAATTCGCGGCGGAAATCGGGCGATACAAATGGATATGGAGAAAAGTGCCGCGGAAGCAAGACATCATTTGTGTTTAAAGATACATGTAAAACTTTATGACGTGACTTTCAACCACAAGCCCTGGCGAGTGCGGGTGGGTAGGCCCTAAAACGGCGGGAGGGGTAGGGGTGCCGCTGTACGGCTGTAGGGGTGTGGAGGGGTCGGGAGGGCGGGAGTGTGACCGTGACCTAAAGCCCTCCACCGATAGAGTTGTCAGGCGGCAGGGCCCAGGAGGGCACTCGGAGGGGTGGGGGCTGGGAGGGCTGGCCAAAAGTGAGGCGTAGGAGGGCTTGTGAGGGCTTGGGAGAGGTGGAGAGCTCGGAGGGGTCGGAGGGGTCGGAGGGCAGAGAGGCACGAGGGTGGCGCTGGTGGGCTCGGGAGGGCTCGGGAGGGCTCACAAGGGATGGAGTGCCCGGAGGGCTCGGAGGGGCGAGCCGCCGAGCCGGGCTCGGGGGGCTCGGAGGGCTCGGAGGGCACGGAGGGCTCGGAGGGCTCGGAGGTCTTGCTTGTTTCTCCGCACCCTCTCTTATATTCTTTCCTTTCCTATGCTCTGCTCACTCCATTTTCTTTATCTCTTCTACCCTTTATTTTCCGTTCCTTGAGCTAGTCTACCTCTCTTCATCCTCCCTCGTCTTGCTTCTATGTTTTCATTCTTTGCTCTACTTTCTTAGCTTCTCTT